ATTGTTTCAAAAGGATATCAAGTCTAACAATGTGCTGTGTGTTCTGTCACTCATGCAGAGCTGCGCTACCATTTCTGCCCTCAGGATCTCATCGTCTGTCATGCCTGAAATAAAAGTAAATGAAACATTAAGGCAGTGAATAAACCAGTACATGAACACAGATACAAACTGTTATATGACTGCATAGTATAAGAGTATAGTTCAGAAAATCAAAATGATCTAATTTAACAAAAACATAGTGCTTAATATCAGAAACTTATCACAATTCAGAGAGACTTGGCATTTGCAGAAAGTAACGAATAAAAAAATTTTTTAATTTCCTAGCTTTGACAAGATTTTGAAAGGTGACTGCAAGATTCAGATGTTTGAAGATTTCATCAGATTATCTAGATGGGTTTATACTTTCAACACTCGTGTTCTATTTTGCGACAGATTTTTAAGTCTTCTGCTCATGCTGCCAGAGTGACAACCAACGAAATCATTTAGTCAAAAATACAGTTTGCCAAAAAGTTAGGTCCCCAGTGTACAACTAATCTACAATTTACTTTCCCCAATGGATATTCCCTGTTCTTTCCCAGTTGTTTCTTTGGTGACTGCATCAGCTATTTGGGTTCTTTATAGCCGCTTATTAACACAGGTGACATTGGAAGAAGACCTAGTTCAGAATATCGCCATTTCATTTTCAAAAATTCCTGTCATCACCTTACTACAATTAATTCTTAGAAGAGCAACAAAGTATTTCATGAGTATCCTCCACAAAAGCCAGTGAATAAACAAAAGTATGTTATTCAGGTTTGGCCATGAAAGACAGACATATATATCTCAGAAATTGCTGATTTTGGGAGCTCTTCGAAAGATCCTTGCCTAAAAGTGAAATAATAGCACTACAAGTGATAGTCCAGAAGTAACTTCATGGTATGTTTATGTTGTCATTTGCAAGAAACAGACCAAGTTCCTGAACTTCAGCTTTACGAGCAATGCGGTTTTAGGCAAAGAAAGACTGGCACCCCTCTGGTTGGATTCAGAAACAAACGCAGTCGTACTTTCTCTTCCTGCTCCCAAAACCGTGCCTTTCACACAGAGAGGTCAAGCATCCATAAACCTTCTATGGTACAATTAGCATCTGCTCTTAAAAGTTTGTACCTGCAACCCTCATCCACAGTGGTAATACCCTTTGAGTAATCAAGAGAAATGTATTGCACACTTAACATTTCTTTTGGCAATATCTCAACAATCGTTCGAGGATCCCACTACTCTTTAATCTTTCAAGCACCTAACAGTAAAAAACCCTTTACAATAGTATCTCAGATCAAAACATTCTCCCACAGTATCAACTATTTCATTGTCCTTCTTACAATACGCAAGGATAAGATCAGGATTACCAACTAATGACAAATCACCAGGGCCGCAAGAAATGCATCCAGGCTGTTAAAAGCAGCAAGGGAGGAGCATTATTTCCAATCCTTACTGGTTACAGGTATGGTGTCAGATGATTGGAGGACTGCTAATGTGCATCTTTGTTTAAAATGGGAGTGTAAAATTGATTGAAAAATCACAGGTCCATTAGTCAAACCTTCGTAACAAATTATTAGTAGTAATTCTGAGAGACAATATAAAAGGATTAATCAAGGATAGTAAGGAATATAGGAAGAGGCATAGATCATTCAGCTCATCAAGCCTGCTCCACCATTTAATATGATCATGGTTGATCGAATACTTCAATGCCTTTTATCCAAATCTACCTCCATAACCAGTTATGCCACTGGAAACCAGCAATCTATCAACATTTACTCCAAATATAAATCGAGAACTGGGCTTCCACAGCCTTCTGTGATACAGACTTCCAAAGACACTCAGCCTGCCAAGTAAAACATTTCTCAAAATTTCTCTACATCTCAGTCCTAAATGGCATACCCCTTATATTTTTACTGTGCTCCCAGTTCTAGACTCCCCAGTCAGGGCAAACATCTTACCTGCACCTATCCTGTTTTGTATTTTGTAGGTTTAATTTAGATCATTCATTGAGACTCTAAAGAATACCGAACCAGTTTGCCTAATCTCTCGAGAGGACAATGCTGTTAACTCAGGAACACACCTAAATGATTCCACACTGCACTCTCAATGGAAATAAAGTTTCTCCTGAAGTCAAGAGATCAAAACTGCATGCTGTACATTAGTTGCTGTCTAACCAAGCTTCTATACAATTGTATTAAGACTTTACTACTCTCATCCACAAGTACTCCTGCGATAAAGGCTTACATTCTGTTACATTCCGAACAGCTTGCTGCGCCTGCTTGTCAGTCGTAAATGACTTATCAACAAGGACACTTTTGTATATTTATACTTTCCAATCTCAACATTTAAAAAACACTCTACACATCTGTTCCTCCTATCATAGTGGCTAACCTCACATTTTTCCACATTATATTCTATCTACCATGTTTTTGCCTATTCACTCAGCCTGTCCAAATCTTCCTGAAACTGCTTTATGTCCTCCTTACAACTTCCATACATTTCTGCTTAGCTTTGTATCATCTGAAAATTTATAATTGTAATATTTGGTCACCATGTCCAACTCGATATAGATTGCGAACAGCCGGAGCTCAATTACTGATCTTTGCAGCACCCTGTAATAACAGTCTGCCAATGTGAAAATGATCCATTTACTTCTTCTGTTTTCTGTCTACTAGCTAATCTTTAACCCATGCCAGTGCATTACCTCCTTTCATATTGCCAACCAATCTCCTTAGGGGAACATAATCAAAACACTCTTCTGAAAATCTAAATCAGCATGGCTATCACAAACACAGGATTGTTCCAAGGGATACAAAGGAAGCCAGTCAGCCCATTGTGCCTGAATTGGTTCCATTACCTAGTGCCTTTCTCCTGCTTTTTGCTTGCATGCCTACACACCATTTTTATCCAAATAATCATCAAATGCTCCGGTGAATGTGTCAATTGAACCTGCCTCTGCCACATTTCCTGGCAATGCATTCCATACACCAACTGCTCACTGTGTAAAAGATTTTTTACTCTCATCACCGTTTTGTTTGCATATCACTTTAAGTCTATGCTCCCTCATTCCTTTTTCTTTTAAAGGAGGAATAGTTTCTCCCTGTCTTCTCTAGCTATCCCACTCATGATTTTGAAAAGTTCTATCAAATCTCTTCTCAGCCTTCTTCTCTCAAAAGGAGAACAATCCCAACTTCTGCAATCCATCCTCATAACTGAAGATACTAGGAGGCATGCATTTATGGTTAGAGGGGGAAAGCTCAAAGGAGAGATAAGGGGCAAGTTTTTCTTTTACAGAGTGGTAGGAGTCTGAAACACACTGCAGGTGGTGGTGGTGGTGGTGGAGGCTGATTCAATAGGAGCATTTAAAGGAACATTTAGATAAGCACATGAAAATGCAAGGTATGGTGGTGATATGGACCAGTGGCAGACAGCAGGGATTAGTTTCATTTGGCGTCATGCTTGGCGCAACATCGTGGGATGAAGGACCCATTCCTGTGCTGTACAGTTTTAATCGATAAAAGATTTTCATTCTTGGAAACATTTCCGTAAATCACTTCTGCACTTTCTCCAATGCACTCACATCTTCCTTATAATGTTGCCCACAATTGTACACCAGCTGAGGTCTGACAAGTGTTTTGTTCAAGTTCAACATCACCTCCTTGCTCTTGTACTCCATGCCCCTATTAATAAATTCAAGAATACTGTTTGCTTTATTAACTGTTCTCTCTACCCTGACCCGCCACCTTCAAACGATCGGTCGACATATACACCTAGGTCTCTCGGTTCTTGCACCCTCTTTAGAATTGTATCTCTATTTTATATTATCTTTCAATGTTCTTCCAACTGAAGTGCATCATCTCAATTTTCTGCAATGAACCTAATCTGCTACCTATCTGCTCACTCAGCCAAGTTGTCAATGTCTTTTTGGAGTTCCATACTGTCAGCCTCACAGTTTACAATTCTTCCTAGTTTAGTGTCATCTGCAAACTTGGAAATTGTGTCCTGCGCACCAAGATCCAGATTAATAATATAGATCAGGAAAAGCAAGGGTCCCATGCACTACACGCCTTACTCTAATCTGAAATATATCCATGGACTGTTACTCAGTTTCCTATCACTCAACCAATTTTGGATCAATGTTGCTACTGTCCCTTTTATAGTACAACCTACAACTTTGCTCCAAGCGTGTTGTATGGCACCCTATGAAATGCCCTCTAGAAATCAATGTCTATGGCATCGACAGCATTGCCCTTGTCGATCCTCCAGTTACTACTTTTAAAAAAAAAACTTCAAGTTAATTAAACATGATTTCTCCTTTTAGAAATCTTATGCTGTCTCTTGCTAACAATGTACCTTTCTCCATGTGGTTACGAATTCTATCCTGAATAACTGTTTCTAGAAGATTCCCCACCACCACAATTAAACTAACTGGTCTATAAATTACTAAGATTACCCTCACAACCCTTCTTAAACAAAGTCATAATGTAATTCTTCAGTCTTCTGGCAACTGAACCTATGGTTAAAACCATATGACTAATTTGAATTAATTTTTTGAAGAAATAAAAAAGGAAGAATTGATGAAATTGTGTAATTATTGCAGACCACATGGAATTTAGCAAGGTTTTTGACCAGGATCCATATGGCAGACTGCTTCTAAACTAAAAGCCCATGGGACCCAGAGGAATATAACAAGCTGGATACAAAATTAGCTTAGTAGTAAGAAATTAAAAGATATTGTTGATGGGTCTTTTTGCAAATGGAAGGCTGTTTCCAGCAGCAGTTCCACATGCTAGGAGAAGGTTCCCTATTTTTTGTACACAAAGATTAATGATTTGGATGTAAAATACAGAGGGCATGATCAAGAAATTAATTGAAGCATAGAATGCCTAAGTGTGGAAACAGGCCATTCAGCCAACAGGTCCACATCACCCCTCAGAAGAGCCCCACGCATTTCCCAGTGTCTAACACACGTAAGCGAAACATCCCTGGGCACTATGGGCAATTTAGCATTACCAGTCCACCTAGCCTGCATATCTTTGGACCACGGGAGGAAACCGGAGCACCTGGAGGAAACCCACGTAGACATGGGGAGAATGTGCAGACTCCACACAGACAGTCACCTGAGGCTGGAATCAAACCTGGGTCCCTGGCACTGTGAGGTAGCAGTGCGACTATTGAGCCATGGCTTATTTGGTCGCATGGGTGCTCGCAAAGCGAATAGATGCAGACTACAGAACGTTATCAGTAGACTGGTCAGGTAGGCAGAAAAGTGGCAAATGGAATTCAACACAGATAAATGTGAGATGATGTATTTGTGGTGAAGGCAAAGAATGAAGAATAAATGGGAGATTAAAATAGACAGGAATAGACTAAGTGGAGACCTTGGAGTGAATATTCACAGATCCCTGAAGCTGGCAGCAGTACAGGTTGATAAGGTGTTTTAAAAAGGCATATGCAATTCTTTCCATTATTAGCCAAAGGTATGGAATGTAAAGCCTAAATCATTTGTTAGGCTACAATTTTGGTACTGTGTGCAGTTTTGGTCATCTCATTACAGAAAGAATGTAATTGCACCGGAAAGGATACAGAAGAGATTCACGACTATGTTGCCAGGACTGGAAAAATGCTGCTACAAGAAAAGAGGATAGGCCAGCAGGTGCTCATGTTGAGCAGAAGGAGGTTGAGTAGAGATTTGTTTGAGATGTACAAACTTGAGAGGGGCCTGGATAAAATTGACATGAAGAGCCTGTTTACCTTAGCAGAAAGGTCAGTGCCTAGAGAGGACATAGGTTTAAAGTATTGGTATGAAGATTAGATGAGAGATGAGGAAAATTTTTTTTTAACCCACAGGATAGTAGGGGTCCAGAACTCTACACAAAAGTTAGGTGGTATAGGCAGAAATCCTCAATTCTCAAAAGATGTCTGGATATGCACAACATAATCTGCACATTGGGATTAGGGTGGGTAGTTCACTTTTCAGTTGGCACAGACATGATGGGCCAAGTGGGCTTTTTCTATGCCATCAGCTTTCTATAACTATCAGCAATTGAGGGCCACATTACATTTAATAGTAAACTCACTGCCCCATCCCTGCAAATAATAGGGAGGTCAGAATCAAAGGAGCCATCTTGTTCACACTTACGATAATTTCTTTTTGTCATTTGCAGAATGACAGTGTCACTGACTAGGCCATCATTTATTACCCATCTCCAACTGCCCAGGGGCAATTAAGAGTTAGCCACATTGCTGTGGGTCTGGAGTCACATGGAGGCCAGACCACACAAGAATGGCACATTCCTTCTCTAAAAGGACATGAGTGAACCAGATGGGGATTCCTGACAATCGGCAATGGATCTGTGGTCATCATTGGACTCTAAATCCCAGATTTTTATTGCATTCAGTTTTTGCCATTTGACATGGTGGGATTCGAAGCTGGATTCCCAGAACATTTATCGGTGTCTCTGGATTAATAGGCTAGCAACAGTACCACTAGGTCATTGCCTCCCTCTAAATTAAGTGGGTTGTGAGCCTTAATGGCCTCCTCTCATGGACAGAGGGAAGACTTGTATTATAATATGAAATTATTAGTTATCAGGACTGAGTTGCCGCCAACTGCAAATGATAATTGCTTCTTAGAGCTTGAGGGCCAGGTCGACCAAAAGTGTTCCCTCTGGGCCCACAAGCGAATTAACCTTACTTCTAACTACAGCCTATCCTTCACACCCATCACTGAAGTATTCATTTTTTGGTTAGAATACCCAAGAGTCAACAGGATGCAAATTGCAAAACCAATGAAGTTAAGATCCAAGTGCAAATCATTCAGGTCAACTTTCACCACTTGTTATTTCCGGATTTCTTCCCTCTTGAAAGCAATGCTAAATGCCAGTTTATAATTCAAAAATTTAAGGAATTTCTCAGGTTCCTCAGTCACAGAATGTACATCTTTAGTAAGAATCAATAGACTCTGCAAATGAAGGGTACATTGGTACCTCTAACACAAAGCACCTAACAAAAATAGTGGACCTTCTTTCACTCTCCATGCCCACAGGAAAAGCTAATGGTAATATAGCCAATTTACCACAGGCCAAGAACTGAACGTGGGTCTGTACAAATCACAACCCACATAGAACAATTCCTACCCAAACTGAAAAGGTATCACACAATATATTACAAAATTGAAAGCAATTATTCGTCTGACTGACTCTCAGCTGACTCTTTCAAAGTGCTCACTGAAAGTCTAATTTAGTTCCACATCTTAGATTTGACCATGTAAACCTCTCCAAGTACATATCCAATTCACTTTTCAAAGTTCTAATGAAATCTGTTTGCTTTACCCTTACAGCTAGTGGATGTTAGATCTTAATAATCCTGTGTGTGAAGAAAACCACTCATTTTTCTTATAGAGACAACAAGGTGCAGGGCTGGATGAACACAGCAGGCCAAGCAGCATCATAGGAGCAGAAAGGCTGACGTTTCGGGCCTAGACCCTTCAGATGGGTCTGCACCTTGTTGTCTCGGATTCTCCAGCATCTGCAGTTCCTACTATCTCTGATTCATTTTTCTTGTAGGTTTTTTTGACAATTATTTTATAACATTATGTGATCCAACTTGCCCTTTCAAAACTGCACAGAATTACAATCACTTTTTTAATCTTCTTCAAATAAATCCACAGACCTCACCTACTTCATCTTTGTTATTACCCTGGTAAAACCTATTCTGTATCCAAAAATCCTCCCTAAAATGTGATGCCCAGAATTGAGCACTGAAGTTGAGGCTGAACCAAGGATTTAAGGTGGTTTAGGACTACTGCTTAATTTTGTATTCATTAATCCAATTTACAATGCCTAGTGTCCCATATGCTTAATTACGATTTATTCAAAAATATTCTGAAAGTATCCACTCAAAATGTACAATTCAGAATATAATGCTTTCCATACTGTTACTCTAAAAATGCATTTCACACAGAATTGCACGTACCATTAACTTGCCTATTTCAACAATCTATGTCCTCCTGAAGTCCACTTCTTTCCTGCATAGTATTTACTACATTGTCAAGTTTTGTCACACAAAAAAAATTCAAAATTACATTCTTCATACACCAAATTTACGTCATTTATACTCGAGAAATATGTTGATAGTAATATGATCCCCTGCGGACTTCAGTACATACCTTCATTTATTTCTTCATTCTATGCGCTTCTATTTTCTAAATTAAGTCTTTAATGTGGCACTTTAATGAATACATTTGAAAATCCTCACGCCCACACAAAATCTACAGCGCTAACTTCAATTTCGGTTACTTCATCAGTAAGGCTAATCAAACCCATTATCTCTGTTGACTGACACTTATCAGCTTCTCGAAGTCAAAAGTAATTTTGTTCTTGACAATGGTCTCAAATAGTTTTTCCACCACTAATTTGCCTGTAGTCACCAGATTTATCCCTCCCATTGTATTATGTCACACAATCAGTAGCTTTTAAGAGGAAGTAATATTGTCCCTGTATCATAACACGTGACCTGACATTATAAAAGCTTCATATCTCATCTTACCTCGGGGATCACCTGAAGCACAATAATAATGGAAGCATGCTGCTCACTTGAAATCTTATGTTTGTATATAAAGAGTTAGCGATAGCAAACATCCTTTGGATTGTTCAATATCCACACCTAGTTTTAGATTATGGGAGATAATATTACCATTTCTACATCAGGTAAAATACCCTCCTGGAGGCAAAATTGTATCACCACCTTTTTTTTTTTTGAAAACAGGTTATAACATTTACAATCATCCAGTCTTCAGGCACCATTCCCTTATTCAAGGAAGATGAAGTGATTCTGGTCAAAGTGCTTTTTACACTTATTTTCACTTTTAGCTGTTTGCCCCTCCATCACTTCCAGTTTTCTAGATATCTTAAGTTTCCTCTCTGCTGGAACATTCTGACGTCCCTATTCCTTCTATATTCACTTAAAACTATCACACTGGTCCCGTCTCAGTTGAGGAACAATCATTAGGCTGCTGCTAAGGGCCAGACCAAACCCCTTCAAATATAATCAAGGGGATAGCCTGGACCCTAATTTTATCTTATTTAAAAGGCAAGTATAAAGGTGCTGTGATCCAGATGCAACTCAATTGGATACACTATTCTGCTTTAAGCAAAAACACTTTCTGCCTACCCTACAGTTAAAACACAAACAAACAAAAGAAAGAAAAGAACTAGTATGAGTATTGGAAAACTTGAGAATAATAGATTATTTAACTACTAAACAGTAACTGAACCAATACAGAACATTCCATAAACATACTCATGACAAAGGCAAAGTCAGTAAAACAGATTGTCCCACATGCGATTCTGGCAGCAGCGAGAGAGAACTCCAGCTTTTTGCTGTGACAGGGAGAGTGAGAGACAGAGTGAGAGCAAGAGAGCGAGACAGTGTCCACAGCCAACTTCAAAACCTCAACAATTGTTGCAAGCCAAACTAAAACCCTGGTTCTGTGGGAGTCTGGCTCCACCCATTCGTGCTGCTTCTATTGTTCCAACTTTAAAAAACCCAAGGCCTCACAAGCTGTTTACTTTATTGGCTTGGAAAAGACAACTTGGTACCTATGGCTCAAATCCTCTTCAAACAAAAAAAGAAACAAGAACCAGGAGAAAATATACCTCTTAAAGCCATTGTATTGTCACACTGTATACTTCTCCACTACCTCAGGACTATCCCCAGTGCTTCAGAAATCTGAAGGTTGAACATTGCAACAGTTATCCAAGCACTACACACGTCTGCATTTTTTTCTTGCTATTATTCTCAATAGCATACACAGTTGTATATGGTAGGTATACAGGGGACAAAAACCTTTTTTTAAAAAAAAAAGGTCCTCGAAAATTTGTTCTGGAGAAGTATGTAAATTCCTGTACAACCTTACCTAAATGAATGCGAAGACTCAGTAAAATAACCAGGAAAGTTAAAGCTCCTTCAAGCATAGACCTTTCATGTTCTGTGTCAAGTGCTGAATTTTGATGCTGTGATGCCATTGTCAGTAAATCCACCACTTTAAATCTAGACAAAAAGAACAAGATTCCACAGAAACGTTACACAGTCATTAGCAAACACATCTCTCTTTCTCTCTCGTCTTGCACACTTCAGGACAATTTGCAAGAATACCAATTCAAGTGAAAAACCAACATTTATACAGGAGTGCACTGATGGGTTGGCAAGTGGACTGTAACTGGTAGAGATATTGCTTTAGTGAACACATCTATTAATGTTGATTAACAGCTAACTGGAAGACTTTGTTTAAATTTTAAACCATGCAGGTTGACTCTGATTCCGTGGGCAAAGCCCTGACCAAATGAACCAATGAATTGCTGACAATCTGCATTGTTTAAATTTTAAACAGTAAGATTAGTGCTGATGTGCGAGCAGGCTTGGAACATTCCAGCTCTTTTCTTTTGGCGAAGTTTCAGCAAAAATACCCTTTCCTCAGTTTCTTCAGATACTTCTCAAAACTTGTGTATTTTCAAATACTCCTCAAGCACATAATTGCAAATCAGACATCTCAATGTTTCCAAGAACCATGAAGTCCAGGTTAGACTTTACCTGGCACATCACTTAAAGTACTCACCTTTCAAAAACAGATGAAACAAAATAATCTGGATCCAGTCTAGAAGCACAAATCTAGGGGAAAAGAATTCGAAGATTTTCAACTTATTTAATGATAATCTTCAATAATTTAAAGAAAAATGTTATGTTTTAAACATGCTGATTTAAAATTATGACACATACACTATATGAGCTGCAGCAAACGTCAAGATATCAAATATAGGCATACCTGGAGAAGGAAGATATCTGGATCAATCATAGAGTTGCAAAAGTGGGACTGAACATAGGTCATAGCCTGTCCTTTAATTTGCAGACCATTTCTAACCCACATGTTGCTGTGTATCTCCGAAAGACTTGCCTAAAAAAAGTTAATAGTCTTTCAGTTCTTAATTCACATTACACTAATAAATTGAACAGAGTTAAAAAATTTGCATTAACTTAAACTCAAGATTAATATGCAAGTCTCTGGGCTATCTATGCATTTAGAAGCTTTATTCTTAAATTCAGTTCTAAGAAATGTCACAAATAACATGGTTTTGAAAAGCTACGTTGGTTTTCACAACTGAGTAGGTTCTTTAAATACTTCAACATAAATTTGAAAAATTTACTGACAAACTCTTATTTACGACTGGGTGTTACCCCTAGATACCTAGGTGATAAAATAGCATAGAACCAAGTCTCATTGAGAATTTGCCTGGTCCAAAAAAAGTGATCAGGTAATACCAATTACGAACAAGAACCTTAGGCAGGTCTTACGTATGCAGGCACCCACAATATTTCATTGCTTGACAGAGTTCGTAGGCTACTCCATAATTAAAGTATTGCTATATGCTTCCAAATGTATAAGTGCTACATTCTCCACACTGTTCAAATTTGAAAAAGACTTAGCATTTGTCCACTTTCAATTCTTTCACAGGAACATCAGAACAGGAATGTGCCACTCACCCCCTCAAGTTTGTTCTCCCATTCAATGAGATCATGGCTGATCAGTGGTCTAATTCCATACTCCTGCCTTTGGCCCATGTTCTTTAATACCTTAGATAATTTTTGTTAATCAATTGCAGATTTAAAATTAACAACTGATCCAGCAGCCACTGCTGTTTGCAGAAGAGAGCTCCAAACAACTGCCACCCTCCATGGGTAGAACATGTCTTCTGAATGGTCTGGTCCCAATTTTCAGAAATATGCCCCGTAGCTGTAGAATCTCCAACCAGTGGAAATAGTTTCTTTATTTACACTGTCTTTTCTTGTTAATATCTTGAAGAATTCACACAGGTCACACCATAACCATTTAAATTCTGGAGGAAACAAGTGTAATTTGTATAACCTTGCCTCATAACTTAACCCCTGAAGTCCAGGTATCATTCTTATAAACTGGCGACGTAGTCCCTCCAAGGAGGACGTATCCTTCCCAAGGTGTGGTGCCCAGGTATGTTCACAATCAAAGTGTGGTCTAACAAGGGTTTTGTATAACTGAGACATACAGGTCAGTAAATGGAATGCTGGCCTGTAATTCATTCTTCGAGCTGGAACAAGTTCATTCTCTAGAATAATTCAATACATGGTTATTGGAAATCAAAAGATCACCTCTGGTATTGCTTTATAAATGGGGCTGACTAGGTTTGTTAACACAACATAATAAATGCCCCAAAATGCTTTGGAACCATATCACCAATTCTTTACTTTCATAGAGTCACAATCCTAGAACTCTGATTGACGGCATTGTGGATTTACCTACAGTGCAAGGACTGCAGTGGTTCAAAAAGGCAGCTCACCACCACCTCCTCCAGGAGATTTAGGGAAGGACAGTAAATGCTTGCCTAGCCAATGTCCACATGCCATGATCGAATACAAAAAAAAATTCTCAGCATCGAAAAAATGTCCAAATTTCTTTTTGTAACTTGAATATTATGACATGAAAATTATCAATACATGACAGTTCCAAATGTGGGTAGTCCTCTGCTTAACCAAAAATAAATATTCCAAATGTTTCAGGATAAACATCAAAACAGGTGTTTTATTTCAGTCATAGTTAATGTGATCTTCTCTCCCTCTAGGAAAAAAAACAACAAATCTACTGTTTGTAGATTTGTTTCGCTTTCTCTCATTTTCTTTCTAGTGTGGGTGGGAGGGACACAATGTTTTCTCTTTCTGAATAATTAGCTGGATTGCTTACTTGAAAACGTTCCAGGTGATTAAGTACATTTTCACATTAAAAAAAAAGGATAGGTATAATGTCACAGAATGAGAAAAAGTAACTTTTGATCGGGAAGTGCAGAGAAAAAGTATTTTTTGTTTAGAAAATCTGCAAATTGTGTGCCTAGGTGTCTGAGATTAGCTAATGAAGTAAACATTTTATAACGTTTTAGAGAACAAAAAAAAAATAAATAAATAAAAAAATAAATCATTGGGTAAATTAGCCATGCTGTTGTGAAATACAAAATATATCATTTGCTCAAAATGCTCTTTAGGAGATTGCAACTTCAGTTGAAGAATACAGAGGACAGGTTTTTTTTTTAAATTTGATTCATGTTCTCCTGACTGGTCAGTCCAAATGGCCAAGAGGCCCTTGATAAAATCTGTTAACTTTATACCTGCTTTATTCATCTAATCTGACCCCATTGTAGAAATAACAGTGGCAAATTAGTACAGTTACATGAAAACAAGTCACCAGAAACAACTGCAACAAAACGCTTGGCAGGAGGCATATCATATAAACTGAAAGTGGTTGCAACAAGGACTTTGATACCAATTTGGTATCAATGACATGCAGCAATAAAAAGGTTAAAACACCTGAATTTGAAGTGGATGAACCATCATTTTCATTAGCATCTCTTGATCTGGCAGGAGTGAATCAAGATCCAATTGCTGACATCTGATAGCCTGTAAAGTGAGAAAAGTATTACAATACGTATTGTAATACAAGTTCACACATCCTTAAATCAATTTTTTTCTTGAAATCAAGATGACAGAGTAACTTGGCAAGTTCGATTCAAAAATGGCTCAGTGACAGGATTCAGGAGGGTGATGGCAGAAGGCTGTTTGGATGACTAGAGCCCAGAGGTGCATCATAGAGATCAGTACCGGGTCCCTTACTGTTTACAATATTCACAAACATCGTAGGGGAGAGTGTCAACAGGATGATAAATAAGTTTGTGGATGACAACAATTGACTGGCTGGCAGTAAGGAGGAAGGTGTTAGGTTGCAGGTGTGTATAAACTGATTGGTCAGATGGGCAGATCAGTGACAGATGGAAATTAACCCCGATAAATGTGAGGTGATGCGCTTTAGAAGAAGAAAGAGAGTCTACAACCAAGAGAAGTTGAGGAGATCTGAAGGGGCCACCAAAAACAAATTAAAACAGTTACTGTTCTCAACTGTGATCATAACGTTCACCCCATCACCTTCTTTCAAAATCCTCCTAACCTCTATTAGGTTACTCCTTAACCACCCATACAAGGCTAATCTCTCCTCAGAATTTACCATGAAATCCTGGCAACATTCCAATGTATATGCTCTCTTGTTCCAAGGCCAATGGATCCTATCCTAAAACGTTTGGTGCCCAATTTGTATTTCATACGTGGTCTAATCAGAAATGTGAAATGCTATGGCAAAGCTTCCTACCATCGTTATTATCACTGTTTAGACATAATGACCAACATTCTAGTAGTTTTTTTAAGCTTTTGTTTTGTATATAACTGCTACACTTTAGCCATGGGCCTTGAACTCTAGATTCTCACTGCCCGTAATTTTCCACAAATCACAAACTCAGTTCGACCAATTTTGGTCCCAAGTGGATGGCCTTATACTTACACAGCCGCAAGTTTTACCAACTCACTAGATATATCAATGCTGTTTTCTAACTTTCTGCTGCCACTTACACTGAGCCAATCCGGGGGCTTAGTGGATAGTACTGCTACCTCACAGCGCCAAGGACAAGGGTTTGATTCCGCCCTCGGGTAGCTGTCTGTATGGAGTTTGCACATTCTGCCCATGTCTGCGTGGGTTTTCTCCGTGTGCTCCAGTTTCCTCCCATAGTCCAAAGATGTGCAGATTAGGTGGATTGGCCATGCGAAATTGCTTCAGGGATGTGTAGATTAGGTGGGTTATAGGGGGGATGGGTCTAGGTGTGATGCTCTGAGGGTCGCTATGGACTTGCGGGCTGAAGGGCCTGTTTCCACACTGTAGGGATTCTATGATCTATGAACAAATTTGGATATATGGCTCTCCATTGAATTATTAAATAAATCAGTACCATTACATCACAGGAGTAGTTTTCAGCATCACCATCTGGACATTCATCTGATCTTTATTCCAACGGCTTTAATACAACAAAAAACCGGGCAGGTTTTATAATTATCAAGTGATAAACTTCACTAGGTTCCTGCCCAGACAAAGTTACAAATTATTCTGTAAATCTTAATGGTAACATTTGGATCATCATTATACCCACTCCGTACATATGAAACAACGTACACATTATTAGAAAAAACTGTTGTTATAAAAAGCATTTTTGAATATATTATTCTGAAACTGACTTTACCTTGCTCAGAAACATAGCATAGTAACGATGAAGGGGCAAGTGAAATGTAACCTGGTTAGGAGCAGGCTAAATGAAAGAAAAAGAAAAAAAAAACTGATACTCCAATACTATATTTTCTAACGTTTAGTCATTACAGTTGTAAACAACCATAGCTCCCAACATTACAAAATACTACTCCTTATAAATTCATGCAGGACAGTACTGTATATGGCAAAATAAATGCTTTTGCCTAGTTTGTTAAAATACCTAATCTAGCAAAAAGGATCACATTACAATTATTGCATAAAAATGTCTGGGAACATACAATCCAAGGCATTACTAAGATTGCCTTTGGACAGTATTTTACCGCAGAGTGGTCAGATGCAGGCTTGTGCCCATGATCATTCTGTTCTGGGCCATGCAATCACGGTAAAAGTGAATGACTAATAGTGTGTCTATACTTAAACGGGTTTTAATCTGAATGCAAAAAAATTATAACTGTCACAAGTATTCCTTAGTAAGTCTTTTACAGGACATCCAGACAATCTTCAGGTACAACAAGGTGCAGGGCTGGATGAACACAGCAGGCCAAGCAGCATCATAGGAGCAGAGAGGCTGACGTTTCGGGCCTAGACCCTTCATCAGAAAAGGGGGAGGGGAAGGGGGTTTTGAAATAAATAGGGAGAGAGTGGGAGGCGGATAGAAGAGGGATAGAGGAGAGGATAGGTGGAGAGGAAACAAACAGGTCGAAGAGGCGGGGATGGAGCCAGTAAAGGTGAGTGTAGGTGGGGAGTTAGGAAGGGGATAGGTCAGTCCAGGGAGGACGGACAGGTCAAGGGGGCGGGATGAGGTTGGTCGGTAGGAGATGGAGGTGCGGCTTGAGGTGGGAGGAGGGGATAGGTGGGAGGAAGAACAGGTTAGGGAGGCAGGGACAAGCTGGACTGGTTTTGGGATGCGGTAGGGGGAGGGGAGATTTTGAAACTTGTGAAATCATCCAGCCCTGCACCTTGTTGTCTCGGATTCTCCAGCATCTGCAGTTCCTACTATCTCTGATTTAATCTTCAGGTACTGTTTAGTTGCTTGTTCCAGCTTAAATCTGCATATAATTGTGGGAGTGAATAGGTTTTATCAGGTAAAGGAATTCCTTCACCGAATTGATTTTTAAAAACAAAAACTAAAATCTCCAGTTTCTGGGCAGACATCTGAATTGTGCAACTTTGGCTCTAAATTCTGTGTATGTTTGCACCATAACACAACAGAATGCATTTGGATTACATAAAGACATACTGCTGCTGTTAAAATTAGAAGGTGCTTTTTAAATAAAAATAATCTCTTTTGTCATCTTCGGCTCCACACTTTATTCATAAGTTCAGGCAAGAAATCAGTGGTTGGCCTTCGGATGTAACTTAACCCTTAAGACAAATGGAAAGTCACTTTTCATTACGTTAGGGCATCAGAATTCCATCACCTGCCTTTCAGCAGTTTGTAAGAAATTTGCTTAAAATTTATTAATGCAAGTTCCAACATTCCAAGTTTAGATAAAACGTATATACATACTTTAAGTTTTTTCAAAAGACAAACAAGAACAACCATAAAAGTTACCATAATCAGAAGAATAGATCTTACACCTCAGATCATTTCCGATGTCTGGCTCTAGACTGGTACTAGGCATTTATGAAAATATTGATTTTGTCTTTTACAACTGTCTGATTCTGGTATAAATTTTGGTGACTCTGTTCCTGGCCCTAGAGTGCCAATACATCTTTCCTGAGGCATGGTATCTAAAACTGGATATCAAATTCTAGCTGGATACAGGCCCTGCAAAACTTAAAAGTTTCACTTGATCATTTTTGACATCCAATTCACTTCAGATAAAAAAGGTCAACATTCCAGTCACTCTTCCGTGTTGTGGAACTTGAAAAATCACGGTCAAGTGCTTTTTCTCTGAACTCATCGCTCAACTGGACATAACATTTCAAAAAGATTCAGTCCTGATAAGTGAAGTTGTATTAAAAAATCCATCTGAAGCAGTAAAGTTTGTTCACACTCAATGCCAGTGTACATTGGAATCCAGTGTGGCAGGAAATTCCATTCATCGAGTGGGGCTACAAATAAACAAAAGGTTCTATAACATGCTACAGGTGAAATATTGCTAATAATGCCAGGATTCTGTTGAAGATTCTTACTGGATCAACTGCTGAGCAATTCCAGTCACCGATTCTATAACATGTCTCTTTGAAGGATGTCTTTAAAGTGCTGCAGTTGCCAATGAATGCTTACTGATGAACAGGTCCAGGCGATTGATGCTTCCATTAAGTGAAACATGCATATATATTAATCTGCTACTAGTTCACGTCCTGCCTTGCATCAAGAAATTTAGTTATTACAGAGAGTAACTTGCTAAAATCTCAGTAAAAGGGACTTGATCATGTACTCATTATTTTCCCATCACCTAAAAGAAACAAAAAAAAAAGTCCTACTTATAATATTCCCCCAATTTGTAATTTAGGAAACAGTGATGTCTCTATTTTATCCTCCACTACACTGGATCCTTTGCCACACACCATTCCAATTTATCCCCTTCAATACTTGCACGGTATTAAGCTGCTGAGCACAAAACAACCTTTTGCAGATTTGGAACTAGTTATCCCAATTTTAGATAACCATGAACTGGCCATGCAGGAAAATATCAATGTCGAAACAGTACATAAAATTGGAACTAATATTTACAAGTGTGTATTGATCCTGTCAGGCAAACAGTGTTATCAATACTAGACCCAAATGAACTATACCCTGGGACATTACTTATGGAATGACTTCCTAGAAAATTTGGAGACATGGAATAGCATATTACCACGTAGCTAAGAAAATGGATTTTGTTAAACAGATCTTAAATTAATAAATGTACTTGTTTTTTTCTCAAAGCTCTCAATTCAGCAATGTGCATTGTTAAATGCACACTACAGCTTAATTAGCCACATCCACATTAATTTTCAATTAACAAAATTCATACATACAAAATATATTTTGCAAATATATTGCTCCATTTCATCAGTACCTCATCAACAAAATTAATAGCATCAAACCAATCCTGCAATGCATCCAGACAGTATCTGACCACAGTTCTGGTATATTCCTGTGTCTCCTACAAAGGAATTAACAAAAAATTTCTTGTCAAATTACAAGATTTTAAATTCAGTTCAATCAAGCAATCAGCAATCAGCAATGATATTCAAAAACTAACACATGCTGAGTTACTAATAACTTCTTAATTTCACCCTTACAATTAGTTTCCTGATTCTTACAGCCTCATGTATGTTGCTTGGCATCGCACATCCACCAAGGCAACTGAATGATTGCATTAAAAGATACCAAGTAAATGTCTCCTACCCGCTTTTTTATTTTGGGACGAACCTGTACTCATGTCAACTTCCACTTTATGCCAGCATCGCTTCTCTAGACTCAGTGGGTAGATACTACTGACCATTTTCCACTTTCCAAAATTAACATCTAGATCGCAAAATCCAGATGTGGACATTGATAAATTCAGGTGGAGTTGGTCCTCGCTCTCAGTTACTTACCGCTCCACAATATTAATCCTCCTGACTTGTTATTTAATAAAATACCTAGACACTTTAATGAGTCAAGTGCTCAGACCTCAAAACATTCTTTAATGGCAACTAAACATTAGTGTTGGTCATCACTAGTATAAAACATTACTTTCCACTATGTACGTAAAAAAGCCCTTCATAGCTCTGAAATGGACTTTCTGCCCTGCTGCATCTAAAAACCTCTGTCCTATTACATATATAATACTAAAATAAAATTCCGTCAAACCTACATTTTCAAAGTTGAAAAGTTCAACTTAGTCTTTCACATGACATTGCAAAAAAAAAAAAAAAAAAGAAAAAAAGTATTACACACTGCCTCTAGCACCTGAGCAACCTTTCTTAAAAGGTCTTGGGGACTGTAACAGAATGCAGTACCTACAAGTATGGCCTAAATCAAATCCCTAAAAAGATTCAAAAACAAAGTTGCTGGAAAAGCTCAGCAGGTCTGGCAGCATCTGTGAAGGAGAAAACAGAGTTAACGTTTCAGGTCCTGTGACCCTTCCTCAGAACACAAAACGCAATGTACTTTACAAATATAACTGTTATTGCAACCAATTGTCTTTATTGACTTTTATGACACTGATCAGCCAGTTTCAAACTCCATTGAACTCATTGTGTAAATTCTTGACCCTTCTGAATCCAATCTTTAGAATGATAAAATTGTACTTTGACTTTATCTGCAACTTTAACTACCTTGACTGGACAGTACAGTTTCTGAAAACTGGAAGTTGCCCAGCATCTAACTAAATGTTGTCCTTCTGCGACCTCAGTCCCCTTACAACATTTCTTTGCCCCTTCCTTTTAGCCATGTACTAAGTGACAATCACATGATACCACCCTTTGTAATTTTTGTGAAACTCTTTGTAAAAGCCTTTTGCAAATCAAAGTGCACATATTAGTATGGGAAAGTGGAGTCGAGCTAAATTCAGCCATGACAGAGCAGGCTCAAGAAGCAGAAATGCCTACTCCTGTTCCTATGTTAATCTACTTCCAGCCCAGTATGTTACTTGTTGAAAAATTTGTCTTTATTCATAATAGCATAGTACAGATGGTAATTTAACCCCTCGTGCCTGTTCAGTCACTGCACGAGATCATGGCTGATCTGCCATCTAAATCCAAATACCTGCCTTTAAACTTAATACCTTTGGGTTTTAAGAAAAAAAAATTAAAACTAATTGATCTAGCATAATTTGCCACTGTAGAAGAAAGATCCAAACTATTTTACCCATAAAAGTTGCTAAAAGTCTTTCCTAATTTAACTCCCCAAAGTCTAAGAACCAGGTTTATGCCACCAACCAGCTCCTTAATCTCCTAAATACGAGCCAAGTTTACATTACCTCCTAATTTAACCCGAGACCAATCTGATAATACTACACTGCACTCTTTTCAAGACCAATACATCCTCCTTGAAGGGGCGATATCCAGAACTTCTCTCGGCACTCTATATGTGGACTAACCAGGACTTTGTGCCGCTGAAACACGATATACATGTTCTTGTATTCTAGTCCTCTAATACAATGACTAGATTTTTCATTAGTCTTTGATTATTTTTGTACATCTGCTCATGACATTTTAATGATCTATGCAGCTGGCTACTCAGTAAATGAATATACAAAGTACACTATCCTCTTTAAATTCGACCTCACGTTTGCCTAGATTGAAAACTATATGCCAGTCTTACTTCCTTAATCTTTAACATCTTAAAATTTTATGTTTCTGAACACTAATTAAAATGATGCCCTTTTTTGAAATATTCAATCTATGACTTTCAATCCCATTAATAAATAAGGCGAATTGTTGAGACTCCAAGACCAATGTTTGAAGGATGCCTCAATCTTGCACAGCCTACCAATTAGAACACCTGCCAATTTATTTGTTCTCAATCTCCTGCCATGAAGCCAATTCCATAATTAGATCAATAATAAATTGTCTTCCATTCCATCAGTTCAGCTTTAGCCAACAGTGATATCTTCTGGAAATCTAGAAAAACAACATCCACGGATGCCTCCCAGTCAACCATTTCAGCCAGTTTTTCAAAAAAAAACTTCAATTATGCATCATACAAGGCAAAAAGTTGTTATTTTTCTAAGAGAATATAATAAACAGTCGGTGGTACGATTTTGCCTTCATTATAAAAAAAGTGAAGTGACTGTGCAAAATGTCACAATCCACTACAATTGTTCTATCTGCCGAACTTTACTAAACTACAGGACTTCCCTCAACCTTTTGCTGAACCATTTACAACTTTCTAAATATTAATTTACTTAACTCAGGCCTTTGCTACTTCCCCATTTTTTCCTGATTATTTTATCCTCCACTGAATGCCATTATATTTTTAAAAATTCTCCCAGCTGTATCATGTTATTGCCTTACTGAGCTTTTGACATGCTTTATTTAGCCTTGATTTTCTATTCACAAAGCAATGCAAATCATTTTTCCATCCGTGCATTTTACACTCCTCTCAAACTTTTACAAAAAGCTATTTGAATATTATCAGCAAGCCCATTTAGCAACATACATCATTAAAACCAACACTTGTCTTTTACTTATCATTTTCTCAATCATATTTTAGATATAAAACATACAACATAAAAAACATCTCTCACTTCTGACAATGGGTATGTGCCTTAAATGCCATTCTGTTATTCAAATACTGACAAATCTTCTATGTTACTTCAGCATTTTGTTTTTATTTCAGTTTTTATTAATCCTATGTGTTCAACATCATGCAATTCACCTTGCAACGAGTTGAAGAACAAAATCATTATCACATTCAAGTAAATCAAACACACTGAGGAACAAAGACCACAAATATGATCATTCATACTGGCAGATTATCAGTGTGCTGTTCCATGATTAATGAAATTCAATTAAGTATATTCCAGTAATTGTTCAAACATTATTTCAGCACTGAGCATAATTTCAGATTTTATATGCCTTGAAAAGAGGACATAGAAATATCTTACCCTAATTTTACAATGTGTTAAAAGTCCCCACATTGGTTGTGCACAGGCTTCTAATTCTGCTGCAAATGCAGCATAGTACGTTTGAGACTCAAATTCTACGTGTTCATTTAACTCTCGTTTGTTTAAATTCATTCCTAGAAAAATTGAATAAACAAGATGACAATGCAATTCAAACAAACAATGTAATCAGTCTAAAACAAGTCAATTGTGATGAGTTTATTATCACATTAGCATCATCGACAACTTGCAAGATTTGACCACTGGTTTTATTACTTAGACCATAAGGCCTTAAGATATAGGAGCAGAATTAGGCTATTCTGCTCAGAGTTTGCTCTGCCAGTCAATCATGGTTGATATATTTCTTAACCCCATCCTCCTGCCTTTTCCCCATTACCCTTGATCCCCTTACTAATCAAGGATCCATCTCTCTCAAAAACAAACAAACCAACATTCTTTCAAATGCCACTGAGTACAGATTATATTTGAAAGTGATAAACTTGGAGAGCTATGGAGATAGGGCTGGAGAATGGACTAGCTGGGTAATTCTTTGGGGAGCCCACATAGACACGATGTGTCAAATAGATTCCTTCTGTACTGTAAAATTCTAAGTGCAACATGTGTATTATCAAGCACTAATATTGTAGATGTTCAAATTAAAAATTGGAAACAGAGATTACATGGCATTTAGTGCCACTAACTTTTCTGCACACAGTAAAAGAGACAAAAATCACAATACATGTACTTTCTTTGGTGTATGTTTTGATAAATGTCATAGAAAGGGAGATCATAAGAAATAGGAGCAATAGTAGGCCATTAAGCACCGAGACGGCTGTATTAAGATCATGGTGCAATCGGATTATAGCCTAAACTCCACTTTCACCTGCTCACCCATAAATCTCATCTCCTTTGTCTATCATAACATCTACAATTCATCCTTGAATATATTTATTGATCAAACCTCCAATTCTCTATGCAGAACAGAATTCCAAAGTTTAACAGCCTCAAAAGAAAAAGTTCTTCATCTCCATCTTGATTAGAAAATCCCTTATTTTCAAACTGTGCTGCTTCAATCTTGACTCCACCTAGAGGGGAAACATTATTCTTGTGTCCATTTATTTTTTTATCGTCACATGTACTGAAATAGTGAAAAGCTTTTTTTAAACAAGTGGTACTGGCAGATCACAGCAAGCAAGGGATGTACAAATAAAAAAAAGACTTCGAGGCATATAGGTTACATTATTTGAGGCTAGAGTCCATTCAACAGTCTGATATCGGCCGGAAAGCAGCTGTTCCTAAACCTGCCCAGGAGAGTGTTCAGACTTCTGAATCTGAATCTTCTGCCCGACGGAAGAGGTCGTGGGAGGTCATTATCAGGGTGTGATGGTCTGGGCTACGCACACCTCCTTCTGCAGTTTCTTACAGTCCTGGACAGAGCAGTTGCCATACCAGGCCATAATGCACCTGGACAGTATGCTTTCAATGGTGCATCTGCGGAAGCTGGTGAGGGACTTTATGGACATGCCAAATTTCCTAAGCTGCCTGAGGAAGAGGTGTTGTTGTGCCTTCTTGACTGTCGCAATTACATGAGAAGACTAGGACAAGTTGGTGGTTATTGTCACTCGAGGAACTTGATGTTCTTCACTCTCTCAACCTCAGTTCCATTGATGTACATGGGGACTGGTTCTCCTCCTTCTTTCTGAAGTCAATGATATATTCTTTAGTTTTGCCCACGTCGAGACACAGATTGTTTTCATTGCATCACGTCACCAAGCCCTCTATCTCCCTTCTGTACTTTGACTCATCATTGTTAGATATCCATCCCACGACGGTGGTGTCATCAGCGAACTTGTAGATAGTGTTTGTTCGGAATTTTGCAACACAGTCGTAGGTGTACAGGGGAGTACAGTAGGGGACTGAGGACATACCCGTGTTGAGTGTTATTGTGGTGGAGGTACAGTTAACTAACCTCACCGATTGTGGCCTATGGATCAGAAAGTTGAGGATCCAGTTACAGAAGGCAGAGCCGAGACTAAGGTCACAGAGCTTTGAGAACAGTCTGGAGGGGATAACGGTGTTGAAGGCAGAGCTGTAGTCAGCAAGCAGAAGTCTAATGTAGGTGTCTTTGTTGTCCAGATGTTCCAGGGATGAGTGCAGGGCTAGGGATATGGCATCCTCTGGGCAAACTGTAGGGGCTCGAAGCAGGTTGGGAGAATGGAGTTGACATGGGCCATGACCAGCCTCTAAGCGTTTCATGATTATTGAAGTCAAAGCTATTGGGCAGTAGTTATTAAGGTGCATCACACATGTTTTCTTGGGTGCGGGGTTGATGGTGGTCTTCTTGAAGCAGGTGGAGACTTCAGCTTGTAGAAGGGAGAGGTTGAAGACGTTGGTGAATACATCTGTAGTTGGCCAGCACGGGATTGGAGTGCTCGGCCGGGGACACCGTCCGGGCCCGCCACTTTCCTCGGGTTGACTCCCAGGAAGACTGACCAGACTTTTGAAGCGGTGACAGAGGGACAGGTATATCTGTTGGGGCAGGCGTTGCCATGCCAGTGGTCTTCTGCTCAAATTAAACAGAAAGCTATTTCATTTTGTATCCCATAATGTTGTTTCAGCCTTGTCATAGACAGTGGGAGTCTGTTGTTTGGTAGATCTGGGCCTCTAACTTGGTGCAGTACTGCCTCTTGGCCTCTCTGATGGCTTTTGTGGAGATCTATCAAGTCATGACATGAGAAATCGGAGGCATAGGTCATTCAACCCCTCAAGCCTGTCCTGTCATTCAATAAGTTCATGGTTGATCGGCCCCAGGCCTCAACATCTCTTTCATTCCAGCACATTATAGCCCTCAACACCTCAATTTTAAAAAGTCTATCCACATCCTCTTCAAATACTTTTAGTGACCTAGCCGCTACAATTCTGAGGTAGAGAATTTCAGTCACTACTCTCTGGGAGAAGAAATTCCTTCACATCTCAGTGTGGAGTGTATCCTTATTGTGTAACTTTGCCCCTCAGTTCAAGATTCCCCACCAGTGGAAACACCATCTCAACATCTACCCTGTGACAACCTCTCAGAATCTTGTACGCTTCAACAGAATCTTCTAAACTCTTCATCTCAGCAGTCAGTCCAATTAATTTCTTTGTACTGCCTCCAATGCCTACTTAAATATGGGGCCAACACAGCCTCACTACGTCCTAACAGGATCTTCTATCTTTCAACACAATAACTTCACATTCTTCTACACTCCAAATCAATAACAATCCAAACTATTATATCTTTCCTCAAAAAGGCAACCCCTGCTCATTTCAGGAATCGGCCGAGTTAATTTTCTCTGAACGGTTCTAATGCAATGCAACATCGCAGTGAAGCTGTCTGGACAAAGTGTCTTGCAGTCGCCATCAGCATGAAGCATTCAGGGAAGAGAGTATCCTGCAACAACATGACAGTAAGGAATCTGGGAAAAGTGACGAGGGTCAAGAGGAAACAGCAAATTGGGTAAGGTCGGTCAGGTGAGTATTTATACTATTTAAAAATCACTGAAAGATTGTAAGGTCTTTATTTTGGGTTTATAGTTTGTAAAGGCAATAGTGTAGAGGTCCAGAGAAGGGCCCTAGTGTAAGTGATATTATTTGACTTTAAGGGCAACGTAAGAGTTGAATCTAAAGGGGTAAGGCATGGAAGGAGAGTTCAAGGTCATGGCATACTTCTCCTGCTCTATGTGAGAAGTCAGGCACAGTTCCAACACCTTGGACGAGAACGCACGCAGAAGATTTGGAACTGGAGTAGCAGCTGGGGACACTCTGGAGCATCTAAGAGGGTGAGAATATTATACTAAGCAAGTATAGTAAGAGAAGTGGTCACTCCCAAGACACTGCAGAGACGGAAAGATGACCACCAGGCAGAATAAGACGACTAGGGTGGTGGTGCTGAAATCGCCCCTGGCCATTCCCAGCGAAATAGTTACACTATTACATATTACCGGGGGTACAGCCTCTCAGAGGAATGTAGCAACAGCCAAATTTGTTGCACCATAGTTGGCTTGGTTGTACAGGAGAGGAGGAATAAGTGAGAGAAGGCTACATGTTGAATTTTCAATACTAAGGGGAATAGATAAATGTTTCTGCGGCCACAAACAAGACTTCAGAATACTGCATCCCAGCTGTTAAAGTCTCAGAGCGGCTGCAGGATATTCTGGAGTGGGAGATTGAACAGCCAGTGGTCATGGTTTACATTGGTTTTAAAACAAAAAAAAAAAAAGGGACACCTAAAAGCAAAATACAGATAGTTCTGCTATAATCACCTGTTTTGTTAACACGGATTGGCTATGACGTGATTGATGAATAGCGGACACTGTTTGGATAACACAAAAACTTTCTGGTTTACAAGTACTGCAATTTCCCTATAACATGATTTTCAGTGACGATTTTCTATGGCGCAAGGTCACACAAGAACGCAGTACTATGTTATAGGACAACTACCTGTATAGGGAGCTAGGAAGCAAGTTAACGAGTAAGACCTCAAAAGGTAGTGTTCTCAGTAATTGTGAGATCACATCAGTCAGCATTAAGAGATTGAGATCAAAAGCAACAAACTTAAAAAATAAAGTCTCAAGGCTTGTGAATTTTATTTTAGATAAAAGCTCATTAATTGAGAACAGTTAAACTGGAAAGAGTGGAGAAATGGAACAAGTTTGCAGAACTCAGGAGGTACAGAGAAACTGGGTGTCCTGATACAGGAATCATAAAACACTGGTACACAGTTTAAGAAAAAAATAGTCTTGATTTTAAGATGTAGACAAGGTTACATTTTTTCCTCAGAGAGCTACTCCTCTTTAGAATTTTCTTCCCCAGAAAAGAAAAATGTGCAGGCTGGGTCATTGAATTTATTCAAGGCCGAGTTAGATAGGTTTATGATAGACAAGGGAGGACAGAGAATTTGAGGCACACAGATAAGAAAGTCAATGATCTTATTGAAACTAAAATAGAAATTGCCAGAGAAACTCAGCAGATCTGGCAGCATTTGTGGAAAGAAAGTGAAGTTAATGTTTTGGGTCCAGTGACTCTTCTTCAGAACAGGAAGGAGGTAGAAGCAGGCTGTATGCTATTGGGGGAACTATCAGTTTAGACTTTGTGTGGGGAGATCCCCAGAGGAGATTATCAGCCACTGTGGACTCAGCCTGATGTTTGATGGTGCAGTCATGGTCCAGGGAAGATAGGAAGAAGGTGTCCGAAAGCTGGAGCTCAGCCTCCGCAACGTACAGATCTATACGCCAGGCTTGATTATGAATTTTATTTTATAATTTTACTGAATTGGCAGAGAAGGCTCAAAGGGCCAAGCAGCCTACTCCAGATTCCAAAAGTTAATGTTCCAACTAGGCTACAGAAAGAAGACATTATTCTTAATTATTGAATACTTTATGTAATACAAGTACCGATGTTGGGAGAACACTAAAAATAGCAGCCTCTGAAGACAAAACAAAATGAAATAATCCTTAGAAAGAAACTTACCTTGAAAGAAGGAAACAAAATTCATCCACATCTGAAGAAGCCCCTGATCTTCCAAGAAACGTTTTGCCACACTTTGATGTGAAAGGATGTTTATAAAATCACTAACCAAAGGCCAATATGTATTGTTCTTCAAGAGTGGCTCACCACAGTTTACAACAACATGAAAATTGTTTTCCTCATCTAAATGAAAGACAAGTAATTACAAAAATGAACACAAACTACAAGTTCAGAGTTCAATTATAACACAGAACTCAAATGTTTCCTTGTGACATACAAAGGCATTTTTGAAAATCCTGAAAGTGATGTTTTCGCATTTCTAATTTTTAGTACTACAAAATAAATTGTGCCCAATTAAACATAAACAGACAGTAAGGAAAAAAATGAGAAAGCCTGCTTTCTACAAGTTCAGAATGTCATAAAATTAAATTTCCACTCACCTTGCAACTCACTTTTGATAAGGCAACTTTCCATCATATAAAGTAGCACAGTGACCATTATTTCCAGCAGCTGACATTCTTCAGTCACCTGACGTGCCAATTCTTCATTGCTAAATAACTGAACACTAATATGAACAATCCTATTGGACATAGTGTCTGATTCATGGCTCTTAATCAGAGTTTTCATAATGAAGGCATAATGTTGAACAAACGTTTTAGTAAAAGCAATCTGCAAAATAAAGTAAAAATTAATACTGTAAGATTTCATTATTGCAGGTTGCCATCATACAGAAGTTAAGTGAAGATAACTTGTAGTCAAGGCAGAGTTAATGAACCAGCTGGTTTTTCCCTATCATTTTGTTAGTTTTACCAAAGTTGGTAAAGAATAAGTCTAGTATGTGCTAAATCCATTTTAACCAAGTTACCGAGGGCACCAAAATTTTGTTGTAACCCCCAACAAGAGCAGTATTAGGAGTCTAGAATTCCTACATGGATTGCTACTTAACACCTTTTGCAAAGTGAATCCACGATCAATGGATCAAACATTTTATCAACACTTTCAGTTAACAACCACTTGTGTTAACCACCCAAAACACCACCACCCACAGAACGATGTGGCATCATCTGCAAACGAGGGACATTGTGAAAAACATCCTATTGGAGATAATTCAGACTAAGTACTTGCCCATCACATCCCAGCCATTGTTCCCAACTCTGAATTATTAATCTCAGTTGGATTATTGCATTAAAAAGATCTCAACAAAACACACGCTCAATCACATTTCCTCCACTAGAACAAGATTTGGATGAGAAAACTGTGTACTATAACCAAGGTTGCAGGTGACATCAAAATAGGTGGGAAGGTAAGTGGAAATAACACGAAGAGTCTGCAGGGGGCTACAGACAGGTAAAGTAAGTGGGTTAAAAACTTGGCACATGGAATATAATGTGAGGTAATGGGGAGCTTTGCTCAGAAGCTAAAAGGAGCCAAATATTATTTAATTGAAGAAAGACTGCTGAAAGCTACAGAACAGGAGAGTTTGAGGGCCTTGTGTGTACACAAAAGGCCAGGATCCAAGTTCAGTGGTCAGTAGGAAAGGCAAATGGAATAGGGAATAGAATATCAAGTTAGGGAGGCTTTGTTAAAACTATCCCAGGCATTAGTTAGGCCACAGCTGAAATACAGTGATCAGTTTTGGGCCCCTTATCCAAGGAAAGGGATGATGAGGAATTTTTTGTCTCAGAAGTAGTGAATCTCTGGAATTCTTCTCCGCAGAGGACAGTCAAGGCTGCACTGTTAAGTACATTTAAGATTGAGACAGGCATACTCTTAGATCAGTAAGGGAACCAAAGTTTACAGGGAAAACGCAGAAAAGTGGAGTCAGAGGTTATCAGACAGCCGTTAAATGGCAGAACAAACTCAATGGGCTGAATGGGTTACTTCTGCTCCTTTGTTTTGTGGTCTTCTAGCAAAGTTTCAGATCAGGTCAAATTGCATACTCATCTTCTGACTTGAAGAACTTACCACTGCAAATAATCTTACTTAAATGCTTAGAAAAAAGAATACATACATAACAGAAGTAGCAAGAGTTTCAATTTCTGCAAATTTGATTTCCCATACCCAATGCAAACTTAATACATATTCTTGGCTTAGGATGATTACAATTTACATGAATGCTTGTTTCCTCTATGCAGCACAAGCAAAGTCCAGAAAACAATGCTACAATTAAAATTTTCTTTCTCACTTTAATCTAAGATTTTTATTTGCAGAAATTATTTGCATTTGAGTAGTAGAAAAAGATATTTTTCAATACACCTTAATTTGAGAAGTCTGGGTATATTATGCAAGGCTGTGCTATGTTTTAAACAACTGATATCTGATCTGATCATAGCCAGAAATCAGGTTGCAAAATGCCCTTGTACTGACCCAAAAAGCAGAATATGCAAGGACCCTGCAGGGAAAAGATAAGCCCCATTTTTTTTATTTTAATTTCCACCTTAACTTTTTCAGGTTAAGAATAATTAATCTAAAATTGTAAGCCATTATGTAAAATGGGCACTACTGAGTTTCACTCATCAATATGCCAAAAGTAATGCACCAGCACTATTACAACAGCCATTGGAAATCTCAGTAACAGACTGAAGTATCAGATTTCTAAATCAAAGTTACTTCATTCAGAAATGCAGGATACATGTCTGCTACTATTTCTTGCCATTTCATTAAAATAGGAATTATTTAGTTGACGAATATGCAAGGTAGAAGGCAACTTAAATAGATATTTAGTCTGAAGATAGAGTAACTAAATATCTGTGTTACTGAAGGCATGTTTGTTATTTAATTTTTCATAGGAGGTGTGTACTGTCTGCCAGGCCTGCATTCATTGCTCATCCCTAATTGTCCTGGAACTCCGTTACTTGCTATAGCGCTTCAAAGGGCAATTAAGAGTCAATCATATTAGTGAATCTCAGCCACATGCAAGTCAGACAAGATGAGAATGGCAGATATTCTCCCCTGATGGCTTAATGAACCAAAATGGATTTTTACAATTTATGACAGTTTCATGGGTACCATTATAGAGACCTTGCTTTCAAATCCAGGATTTATTCCTAGCTGCTACAGCAGGATTTCAACCGATGCCCTAAAGCATTAATTTGGTCCATCAGATAATAGGCCAGCAACATTACTACTAATCCATATTCTTCCAAAATTATTCCCTTCCTTTGTATAATTTGAAATTTGGTAGCAAAAGGAGATCAATTATTGCAATATAATTGCACTTTTGTATTAACGTCTTTTTTTTGTTTAAATCAAAGGGTGCAAGCGCTTTAGCTTGTGCTGTCGGAATACATGAATTTTAACTCAGAATCTTATACAGATGCTCTCCGAATGTGGATGCAACTACTTGTGCACTTCTGGACAGAAAACAGTCCAAGATAGACAATATAAACAACCAATCTGCTGTCTTGTGGGAACCAACAGTATAGCTACTTGCTTCAAGTACATTAAGCATGCAGTGATTACAAAATTTTGTATTAAATAGAAAAACAAAACATCTAAAATGAAATCAGAGATAGTAGGAACTGCAGATGCTGGAGAATCTGAGATAACAAGGTGTAGAACTGGATGAACACAGCAGGCCAAGCAGCATCA